GGCTCTATTCCCATAGATTTTAGATCGATCTATCCCCGCGGGGAGTCTCACTAGATTACTTTCAGATAATCCGACTTAAATGTCCGTCCCGCCTACTACAAGCTGTAAGGGGATAATATTAACTTTCGTGTCCGCCCGGCTGACAGCTATTTAGCGTGAATCCCCAGGGAGTTAGGTCGATCTAACGTAAATCGATCTAATCTCTGGAAATGGGGTCTTAAATTATTAACCAATGTCTGGTTCTTCAAAGTTAGTAATAATTGAGAAGTGTCTGCACAGAACGTCTGTCCACTTTCATTGATTGGATCAAAAGACATACGCAAGAACAGTGTCACATTAGTTGTCTCCTAGGAGAGAAGATATTTTGGGTCCTAGGTTGTCACAAAACAAAAAACTTGAGCAGATGGCGATGAATCAGTCAAGTAAAACGGGGCGCGTAAGAGCCATTTCTCTTATCCTCTTCACCTTTCTGTATTTTCCCTCGTCTGCCCCTCTCTTTCTCTCAGTTCTCCGTTTCTCTTGATTTCTCATATTTCTTTGATTTTTTTTTTTCATTTTTTATTTGAAATTGTGATTTAGTATTTTGTGTGGTTAGAGTAAGCCAAACGGTTAAAAGGTATATAAGAATATTAGTATTGAGTAACAGTTAGGAAAAAGCTCTTTTACACCATGAAACCCAAGTACTCTGTCAAGTTTATGAACACAAATAGTTTACTTGAATTTCCAAACGGATAAAGAGGCATGCGTTACATGAGTATTTTACATTACAATGTCAGGTATCGGTTTATACCATTTCTTTAGCTGAAGCATTATTTTGTTAAACAGAGAACATTTCTCATAAGATAACGGAATACTCCCATTTGCAGGGGAGAAGTCATTACTTGAAGGCAGATACAACAGGCCAAGTGCATTTGCCCGAGTTCTTCTATGCTGAATGTTTAATTGTACATGTGCTTGGTGCATTAGATTTAATCAGACTATGTCTGACTGGTGAACATTAATTATATACTAGACCGGCAGGTGAAACTTGTGGATGTCACACTGTTTTTCGTGCCGGGGTTCCCTAGTATGTAATCGAATATCGAAATGGCGTAGTTAAAATGCAAATGCAATAGATGCATAGATCTGGAATGCGCTCATTTTTGACTGTGCCACTGTAGGGGAAACAGGGTTGCCAGGCCGATACGATTATGAAGTCTCTTGGTAAGTTAGAACATCGTGTGATTGGCATTTGGAAGGGTAATAACAGTGTGACCTGTCAGATGATGTAGGAAATTATAGAAACCCGCATAGTTCGTGTCAATATTTCAGCAGCTACTCATAGATGCGTAACATGGCATGGCGCTTGTCAGGTAGTACGGATGAACTTGTCTATTGGTTTGCAATACCTGGGGGGTTTGGATTCAATTTGCAATAGAAAAACATTCAATGGAGTTCAAGAACTAATATTCAGATTGTGTTAAGTGTTTGCGCTTGTGTAGAAATGTAAACTGCTGCAAAAAATGTTTGGTTCACTCTGCAGGACCCAACGCTGACTTCAAGTTTATTCAGTTGATTTCATTGCATATATCCTTATTTCCTAAATTTGCCGTCAGAATTTTTTTCTCGATGCTGTAGGGGTGGTGGGGTATAAATGAAGCTGTGGAATACAACGCTTACTACAAACCAAATAAAGTAAAAATTTCTTCGTGAAAAATGCCTTGCGCGCCTCCACGCCCTCCTTCAAGGTAAATGCCATAGGTATTATTACATACATTGTAGCAGTTCAACGCTTGGAGGGAGATGCGTCGCAATCCAGGGACGCGCGGTACCAGATTACTTTTCGTGTTTCCTTATTATAATTTCTAATTTACACTGTGTACTGACCCTTCATCATGTGGGGGATGATTAAATGTTATAACTTATAATGGACACTTAGTGGTCAGCCATAATAACCGCAGTCAGTCTCTTCGGAGATGGCACGAAGGCCGGCGTACTAGATACTAGCCGATGACTACGCCTTAGTTAATTTTTGTGTAGGCAAAATATCAATAGATGTATGAAGTGACTGAGACATACTAGACTCTTTCTTGCACCTCTTGATATTTGTTTTTGAGACACTCATCTGTTTAGTTTAGTTTTAGTTTAGAGTTTAGCGTGTTCTCATTTTCAGTGTCTGTGTGTAAGGCTGACTTACATGAAAAAAGATCCATAAACACACAATTTAGGCGCATCACAATCACTACACGCCCACTCTTTGGGCAAAGAGACATTGGGGATATTAGCAGGCTTCTGTGTTGATCAATTAATGAATGATCCCAAAAGAATATATGTACAATGATGCTGCTCTTCTCCGAACTAAGTGACAAATAATAACACGGGGGTAAAGCATAAACAGCTGTAAGTGATGGATGATTTACAATAAAAAATATCATGTGAAATGCAAATAGGTATAGTGCGTGTTGGTATGTCATGATGTTATCAAATGTACATTGTTCTTTGGACGTGGGATCGAAAAGAAAGATGTTGGATATTCTACTTATATTATTTACTGTTTAAATATTAATAATTTGAAAAATATTAACGTTGTCAAAAAAAAAAAAAAAAATCGTCCCCAGCCCTAGGGCATTTGAAAATAATCCACAGATATGTAAAGGGTGCATATGATCAGGTGTTACTAAAAGTTAACAAGCATTTTAATTTCAGAGTTAAAAAAACTTTTATGAACTTTCCATACCTAACGTCATTACGTCATATGCTGACTGAGTATCCCACATACTCAGTCAGCATATGTGAATAAGTTTCTGATTTTGATCCGTCAGCCAAAGTTCCATTAAAAGGTACACAGTAGCAATATAAGTTTCTTGTGATGAAGGAGTGTCGTCTCGAAAATTACTTGTGATTAACACAGAAAAAAATGACAAAATCTCCTAAGTATTCGATTTTGAAAGATAAGCCTAGATTGTACAATTTATTATTCACTGCAAGTCGGGCGAATTGCTTTTATTAATTCGGCTGAAAAAAGTTAAACGTTATGAAGATTTATTGCGTTAATCAGAGCGTGTCCATCTCTCTTCTCTGGCTTTGTAGAAGTCAGCCAAGGTGAACCAGCTTTATATAACTCATTAGCCCTAGAGACTAGGTATAGAGCCAGGTAGAGCACAGGTAGGCAGTGACTGTGATTTCCAGAGTTTATCTCCATTGCTTTGCTAAGGCCAAACTTGTAGAGCTTAGCCGATTTTAGTAGGAAAATTTTAGATTTTAGTGTACTAAGGATACATAGTTTGGTTAACATACCTTTTCAAACCGTAGGCGAACCAAATAGTCAGGTATAAAGGTGGGATAGAAGGTAACAAAGCACTGCATGTGTCTCTCTTGTGTGTGAACCTGGGCAGGTAGAGTAAAATAAGGATACCAGCTGAAGGAACTGAAGTCCCATACATTTTTAAAATAGAATTTGCATTCTTATTGGGCAGGTATTTATCTTTATTTTATTTAGAATTATTAAAGTTAACATCAGAAAACTGAGTCACTGCCCAGAGTCATGCCCAGGTAGAATTCCATGCGTCACATTAGGTCTAGATGTCATCTGCCAAAGGGGCATGTCACTTTCCGCCCCCGTAGTTGAACCGATTTTAGTGGAACCTTTCACTTAAATGGGTATTTGATTTCAAGGGAAGGTGTTTGAATTGATAAATAAAATTGCATGGCTCAAGGTTAATTTCAAAAGAAATTTCCTGACGAGTGGGGTCGGTTTTTGTATGTACGTTGAAATATGGGAAAAAAGAGCTACCCTAGAAGTACAGGTAAAGGGTCGTTAATCCATATTTGGCTATAAAGATTTGAAGGAGCATATTTGGTAAACAGTTCGGAATTTCATTTCATATTTCAAGTTCAATATTTCCATAGTTGATTCAATGGCTTCACTTGTTATTTGTGAGTTATGCACTGAAAAAATTACTTAAAGAAAAGTTAAGCTTCTGCCGCTACCTCCATAGTTAAAGGTATCTCATCAGGTATTCTTGGCCTTGTTTTTAGGCAGCTTGCCTTTGGGCAAGTGGCAAGTCGAGTAGAATAGGTTGTCTCGGCACAGTGCGTCGCCTGTGATCCCTACATGAGGTGTTCTATTTCCTACCCTCGGCGTTAAAGCACTGTTTGAATTCTGTCTTATTGTAATGGTATGGTTATTACAGCCAAAGGCTAATACCTGACATTTTGATACCTTAGTAATAAGGAAGATGTCACTGGTAAAGATGTAAGGTCGCGAGAAAGCATGATGGCAATCACAATAATCGTGAAAAATGAATGGTCTGAATATAAGTGAATAATTTCCAGGTTGAGTAACTGTCGTTAAAAGTCACTTTTAATCGAAGGCGGAGTGGTGAAATTATTGTGGTTTAAATTGCTCTCTGTTTGAGGGAAAGCTAAGCACTACAGTACTGCGCGGGCGTGTGAATCATCGGCAGATAGCGCAGTGATAGTCACTACTAGTTTTATGTCTTTAATCCCAATACTTTAAATCAAAGGCCTGGGGAGTTTGTTTTGCTGATTCTGACTAATAGACGCGTTCTACTTGAAGTGCGTTTAGTGACCAGTGTAGTTCTTCATTAAATTCTGCTTTCATGATATTAGGTATCATGCCTTAGGGCTAATCTTTCGCGAAATTAGCGAATTTTTACCTCCGCCAAGGAGGTTATGTTTAAACCCCTGTTTGTCTGTCTGTCTGTCTGTTTGTTTGTAATCAACATAACTCAAAAAGTTATGGACCGATTTTGATGAAATTTTCAGGGTAGGTGGGAAATGGGTTAACTTGGAAGTGATGAGTTTTTCGTGGTGACCAATAATCAATCAATAATCAATAATAATAAAAAAATCGCTGCCTTGGCGGAGGTCTGCGCTCTCGGAGTGCTTTTCTAGTATAACTTATTCTGGGTGAAATGTTAACTTTAAATTAGATCATTTAACTTTTAGAAAAATATGTGCTGTTTATTTATGTCCTTCACTTTTTTTCACCATTTCAGTACGGAAGAAGCGACATCGGTTAGCCAGGATGGCGAGCGTGCGTTTTCTCCTAAGTACCTTCGTGTATGTGATTGTCCAGTCATGGAGTTTGATCTACGGGTGTCCCAACGGATGTGAGTGCATAGCCGACAGCACTGTGCGCTGTAAAGATATCCTTAGCATTCCCAGCGATATACCCACCAACACTAGGACACTTAATTTAGACAGAAGCCGCATAACTACTATACCCACGCACGCCTTTTCAAATCTTCCGAAACTCCAAGACTTAACCATAGAATATGCCAATGTATCTGTTATCGAGTCGATGGCTTTCATGGGACTTAAAGAGCTATCGAGTTTGTCCCTCAGAGGGAATCCCATCCGGACGCTGGAGCCGCACTCTCTCAGCGGAATAGAGAGCGTGATCTATTTTCATCTCAGAGATAATCCTATAGAAGAAATAAAGCCAAACGCCTTTTCGGGATCTAGTAAAATTGATTATTTGTACCTAAGCAGCACAAAGCTACGCAAGATTCACCCAGGTGCCTTCAACCAATTGTCTAATGTACAGTCTTTCATCCTCACCGACAACAAGCACTTGGGAGAGCTCACCAACGCCTCTTTCCTCGGTTTATCAAACGTCGACTTCCTTACTTTTTCCCGCTCAAATATAAGCATAATAAGGAATGGCGCTTTTATGGGAATGAGCAATGTGAAGAAGGTAAATTTGGAGAATTGTGGTATTCAAGGATGGGAGGCTGGCGCCTTTGGAGGAGTCACAGGCGATGTTCAGTACAGTTTACAGAATAATCAAATCAAAACATTTGCCAGAAACGAATTTTCTGGATTGAAAAGCACTTCTCTGTTGAATTTAAATAAGAACCCCATCGTCTGCGATTGCGATTTAAAATGGGTGCTTGACTCGACGCTCCCCATGGCAACGAAGGCCACTATCGTCTGCGCAATGCCAGAGGAACTGAAAGGGAGAACAATCACAAGTTTAACGGGGAAAGACCTGACGTGTATTACAACCACCGCCCCTACTTCAGGGAGTGCCACCCTCAGGCCTGTGTCTAATCCTACCACAAAAACAATCTATTTCCAAGACAACTGGTTTACCAAAATAGTTGTGATGTTATTCTTTCAAGTCGTTATGTGGTTTGCTACCGGCAACACTAACAGCACAGGTTTAATCAATGCCACTGTGATACCTTTAGCCACGTGAGGCACGGTATAAAATAGCATATATATATATATCTGTATTGCTGTGTTTTTTTTTTAATTGACATCAGGCTTTTCTTGGTGTCAGAAATGGCGAATTTTAGTAATCTCTATGACACTTTATGGGGGTGAAGACGCTTATAAAATTCTCTACGTATAGTAAAAAAAGGCTCAGTAGAACATGCATGCTCCTCTGAAACTCAGAGGATTATTCTGCGGAGATCGTGACAACTAGATAAGTTGTCAGACCTCACTGTAGAAATATTGCAACAAAATAGCCTGTTGAATCTTGTGAATATTGTACGTGTAATTAGAAACATTTGAAACGCAACAAAGCCTCTAGCATGAAGGGATTCTGCAATTATGTTGTCAGGTGCAACATATAATATATGTAAATAGCTTTCCAAAGGTTGTGCAGCATCAGGCGTATTAGAGGCAGTTTTGTTTTTAGTATTCATCTAGTTGAATTATGCCATATGTCACGTTAGTTGTTACTACGCAAAACCCTTCCTACATCCCTTGAGCTATGAGGAAAATATACCCATGGGGTTTAAGTCGTGTTATATGTTAACTATACTACTTCCAATCTGAGGTGTAATGCAATCCCGAGAAATGCTAAAGATATATGGATCTTTATTTTTTATCAATGCAATTAGAACTAAGATAAGAAAGTACCCATCGTCATGAACGTGAAAACTTGAGCTTTGTCCGCCAGCGCAGGTGTTTTTTATCGATAAGTTACTGTTCACGTGTAGTCCATGTTTGAATTAAGCAACACCAGGCAGCTACTAATAATAGTAAAGAACCGAAACCTCAATAGTGATACACGTAGCCTATATGTTGTTTGGTGCTAAATGTACAATTTTGTGATGTGTACTAATTTTGACATTTAAAATCAGGATTGGTTTTTTACGTCGTATCCGGATGATCACCAGTCAAAATCATGAATAAAATTTTGATGTTTTCTAATCAGCCGAGAAGAAATTATTAAGAAGTGAAATTATTGAAAGATGCATTTATCTTATAATGAACTTTAAATTTTGCAATGGCAGTTTTTGCAGATTTCTTTTTGCAATGTTTTATATCTGCAGTTTGTTTAACATATGTGGACACTTGTTGCCAGTTTTAGTGTTTTGTTAAATGTATTGCCAGTTAATATATTCACATATAAGCCTGCAAAGTTTTCATCAAAGCCTTATTGCCAAGTTATAAGCTGCAAGTTAAACAGAAAATTGCAAAAATGCTTTTATATACCTTTTGCCGGCTTCATAACACGTGCACCAGGCGCTTCAGTTGACAAATTTTATTGTATGCTGTCATTACAGATTTATAAAGGTTTTGAAGACGTGTATTTGTCATTCCATTTCCAAACGTCTTAAGCAAATGTTTTTTTTTCACAAACTGGTATTCAGTTTATGGTTACATCATTGCATTCTGTTTTGAAATACATTTTGTATCAGGATATGTTTCTTATTTACATCTTGAACGCATCCTCGTTAGATTGTGATACCGAAAATGCAAAAGCGATGCGATACACAGTATATAGTATACAATTAAAATATCAGCTAGGTAGCCGTTACAATGATCATGTGACGATTGTCCCATTCTATACATGCTTGGTATCAAACCATATTGTTTTTACTTTGCTAATGTACGTAAAAATACATTGTACATTTTTATATCAGTTGGGATAAATGTTTTATAAAGAAGTCGTTTTCGTAAAGTTTATGCTTTTACTCCCCCCCCCCCCCCCATCAGAAGCTACTCACGTGCACTCCAACACGCGCTCACGCTAAGTGTAACGCTGCGTCTTGATCGAAACTAAAAAGAGAATAAAAACGAAAAAGAAACTTTAACCTGAACGTGTGCTGAGACGGGAACTACCCAAAACCGGGCACTAGAATGGACCACCGTGGGTTACCAGACGAGTTGAATTTAAATGAAATTAATGCATGTTTTCTGCACGTGGTGGGATTTCTTGTTAATCTTGGCGTCTGATATCGCTTTTGAGCCCGATTCCATACTGTGAAAATCTTCGCATTGACATTGCTCACAACTTCCCTTTTTATTGCACCATTTCAAAGTGCACGTGCAGAGTTCACAACTCCCTGAAACCTGATCTTCGTCAACGCCCTAGCTATTTGAAACAAATAACGACCATAATTACTTCAAAGTGTTCACAATTTCCTTGCAGCAACACGCTACAACGTTTCAAGCGAAAAAATCAATTAACGAAATGCAACCAAAATTAGTGTTAATCAAATGGAACATTATCTCCTGGAAGTGCAGTCGGGGACGAGTTGTTTTTTCTATTGTTATTTTTCTTTGTAGTGAGGTCTTTCGGTACTGAACATGCACAAAATAAACAAGAACATTTTCACAATGTGACAGAGAAATCTGACGGTCCCTCCCTTACTGTAATAGCATCCGCACGCAACGTCGCTGTTCTTATTTTCAATTAAAACTGAACAGCCGTTTCCTTCGCTAATGAGGAAAAGTTCTTATTCGACACTTCATCATAGGCAAGAGAATAATGTATGTTATTATAACCCACGTTAAAACAGGAAATATAATAGAAAGTAAAGGGAAACAACAAATCCACTCTATGGGGGCAATGAAGTAAATGCTTTTTGTGTTTTTTTTTTCTGGTCTGGTGTCGTTTTTTTTTTCAAAACGATTCTGGTAACCAGAAACAAGAATCATTTTTCAAAAAGTAGCCATTAAAGTAAGAACAGTTAATTGATGGGTAAATGGGAGAACTCTCAAAAGTAATCAAAAAAGTAAATACTGATGCCAATCAGATTTCCCCGCTCTTTTTTTTTTGTAAAATGACACAATTCAACTGTTTTACGGGGACACCGCTTCTCAATCACCGAACCTCAATCTAAACTACAACTTTTTATTTAGATCTTGATGATTGTCCTTTAAGTACAATATTTTCCATCACAAGGNGGAAAAAAAGAGGAAATTGGGAAATTGAACCTGAGCCCATTGCAAAACTTCTGCATGGGAGGACCCGGGGTACTAATGAGTCGCGAAACACTACGCCGTCTAGTACCACACATCTCATTCTGCATCAAGAACATCTACACCAACTGGGACGACCTCGAGTTGGGCCGTTGCGTGCAAACCTTCGTTAAAATACCGTGCACGTGGGCTTACGACACGGCCACGTTGTTCCATCAAAACTACGAAGATAAGACGGGACCTTTCACGCATGATCTGCGAACAAATTGGATCTCGCGCGCCATTACTTTGCATCCCCTAAAGGAACCGCCGTATTTGTATCGCTTGCACAGTTTTGTGGAATCAGCGACTCTATCCGAACTCAGACACAAATTACTTTTGTTACAGAGAGAAGTCAGACGAATGTCACACGTTATTAACCCGAGAATACAGATAAACTCCAACAAATATGCTCTGCCGCCTTCTCTTGTTAAATTCAGGCCGAAGAAAAGCGAGGAAGCCGTAATCTGGGAATTTTTATCAAAAAGTCAACAAGAATCCGGTCGAACAATGAACTCTCCCGCCAACTCCAATCCAAATGTCGGCCTCAGCGGGGCTCAGAAGTCGGGCTTAAGAGATGTCATCAGGCAAATAATGTTGTCTTTGAATAAATATGATTACAAGAGAGATAGCACGTTTCAATACCAGGAGATTTTATATGGATACCAACGGTGCAATCCCCTTCACGGCGCGGAGTATGTTTTAGATTTGTTATTGAAGTATAAGAGAAAAGGAAATGCGGCTGTTCGAGTGCGAAAGCACACGTACGTTCAGCAGATGTTTGCTGAAACGGAATTCCTCGACGAAGGTGAAATAGAAACGTCTACAGACGCTACACCGCCGTCGAAATCACAAACATTGTTTCAGAAAATGTGGAACCAAATCAAAGTCGGCAGTCTGACGTATTTTTCTGCCGAGGAATCGGGTCATCAGCATACGCATCAGAGCAGCAATACAATCCACTTTATTTTGCCACTTTTTGGAAGGATCAAAGTTTTCCAACGTTTCATGGCCAATTTTGAAACCACGTGTTTACAAAATGGCGAGGACGTGAAACTGGTGGTTATCAACTTCGTAAGTCCAAATGAAGGTAGTCAGAGCGAAGTTGACGATGTAATGAGTAAATTAAAGACGAAATATCCTTCGTATGATCTCAGAGTTATTCACAACGACGACGTTTTCTCTCGAGGAGTCGCGCTTGAACAAGGCACGATGTTGTACAGCTCACACGCGCTTCTCTTCTTCATCGACGTTGATCTCGTTTTCAACATGGCTGCTTTACACAGAATACGCAAGAACACAATACGCGGCCAGCAGCTTCACTTTCCTATTGTTTTTAGTCAGTACGATCCAATTATGGTGTGTAAACATGAGTCTTGTATAAGGAACCCATTTTTGATAACTCAAGCTGTGGGGCAATGGAGGCATTTTGGTTATGGCATCGTAAGCATGTACAAAAGTGACTTTATCAAACTAGGCGGTTTTGATAAATCAATACGAGGCTGGGGAATGGAGGATGTGGATCTTTTCGACAAAGCCATTGGCAGTAATTTGACAATCTTCAGAGCCGTCGACCCGGGTCTGATCCATGTATTTCACCCCGTTTACTGCGATACGACACTAGATGCCGCTCGTTACAAGATGTGCCTTGGTTCTCAGGCGACGAATTTGGCCTCCATGGAGACACTGGCGAAGATTGCTTATAACACCCATGATATCATCAATAAAGTTAGGACTAAAGTACCACAAGTAGAGCAGGGAAAATAACGGTTCTCCGTTTTTTTAAAGTACCAGATGGTTCATTTTTGATACATGCGTCTTCAATCTCTCGGAGTGTCCTAACACATATAAATAAAACAATTAAGTTATACGATAAGTGGATAAATTAAAAAATGCAGAAGGCGGCGTGCATCGGATCTGAAAATCAAAAGAAGGACAATTAGGTTTTAGTTTTTTTTAAATAACTGCCAGTACATATGATGAAACAGAGAGCAGCTGTCCAGGCTGCTATTATTTTAGCCATCTTATCGTGTGCTGACTATGAATACTGTTTTTTAACAACACGAGACTTGAATGTTTTACGTCACATTTTATCACAACCGCATTCAGGCATTTGTCAACGAACAGGACCATTTTAAATTTTATATTAATCTCCTATTTTGATTCTATTTATTTATTTATGAACAATGAGCTTCATAACAGAAGCACACTCTCTCCTTTTAATTAAACTCTTTCGGTGGTGTATTAGATTATAAACAAAATGATCTTCTTTAATTGTCTGATACTAAGACGTTGCACATTGTTCAAGCATTCCTGTTTACATGTATGTATCTATATTTATGTTCAGCCGAATGGTTAAGGTTTTAAAAAGAGAAGGTTATAGGCACAGTGTATGACTTTTAACGGTTTAAAATAAACGCGTACACACCAAATAAAATGGTGTTTAAAATAAGACTGTCGTTGAACATCAGTGTCTGTATAAAAGGTTTTCTATTCAGAAAACGGTGGTATAGAGCGGTTCAAAAAGGCATGTTGTAAGCGCAATACACAGACGGTCGTCGTTATTGACAGTAGTACTTCCATAATATAGTTTTTCATCTTTCACTCTATAACTGCCTCGTATAACATATGCGCGTTCTGGTCCCTCGTAAATCACCCTACTTCCTTAAGGCAGCGGAGGCAGGCGAACGCCTATCTTCTAATTCATTACTGGGGCCGTCATGGTGCTTTGTTGTTTCTTATTCCTCTCGGGACTGTTTTACAAAACAACAAGTCCGAGAATTGGTCTAAACTTATAGCCCAAGATTTTAGCCCACTTTGACCTAATATATTTTTAGTGGCTGTCCAGTTTTAATGAAATCCACGGCTGTTTTTTACGATAAGAAAGTCACCTCAAATATTTCAGACCAACATTGAAGTTGCCTACTATTGAAGTAGCGTGGTCAAAATCAGATATATACTTTGGTCTACAATTCGAGATTTATAGTCGGACCCAAGTTATTTTGAAAGACCTGCCTCCGGTCGTCTGGTGACGTCACGAAGTTTATTTCCAGTCCTAGATTTACCTCACGTGATCTCGACCTGAATCTTCTGGTTGGCGTGGAAAAAACGCCTGCGGTTTCTGTAAACATTTGATGATTGATGAGTATGTGTTCCCATGCACTTCAAGCGATTGTGCGAAGGCAGGTAAAATGTATTTAGAACAAATGATGCTAATATAAATCCTCTATACGTAACTACGATGTGTTGAATTCAGTATTGGTAGATCCAGGAGTTTGTTAAGGTGGGGTGCAAAATTACCTGGATGAAATATAAGCAGTAGACGAGGAAAATTTATTCCTTTTTTGGGGTGGATGAATGTTTCTTCTTTTCTAACGTGGCTCTGAGAGAACGAGAGAACCCCTCTATTCTTATCATTCGAAAAGAGGTTACGGTTAATAAATAAAAGTAATATAAAGAAGAGCATCCAAGTTAAGTACATGAAGAGGTTACGGTTAATGAATTAAAGTAATATAAAGAAGAGCATCCAGGGTACATGAATTTTTTTTCTTTTTTTTTTTCGCAAACTCTTCCTCTGAACACCCTTTTTCGATCTCTAAGGGGCTGCAGGATACTTCTGATAATTAATTCTGAACTTCTTGTGTCTGAATCGTGTTTTTTCAGAAATGAAGTGTTATTACATCTTGCTCGTATAAATGTCAGAAAGCATCAGCAAACAGAGATAACCAAAGCCAACATTTGTGTTATTACTCCTGGTGTGGAGAGCGATGTGATTCACCTGGTGGGGTGCATCACGGGTCACCTAGGACAGAAGCCATAAGTCTAGGGTAAAGAGAGAAGTTTCTTTTGTTTAAGATTAATATGTGTAACTCCTTTAGATTAGTGGACTGTTACGAGTTCATCCTAAATTTTAATAGGCATATACCAAAATTTTGTTCTGTTAAGGCAAACAACATGTTTAAGACCTTAATACAATAAATAAATAAATAAATAAATAAATAAATAAATAAGGTTCTTCCCAGTAACTGAAATAATTTTCCAACTTCCATAAGAATCATTATTATTTGCAGACAGCTAGAACCGAAAAGCAAGGCTAGGCGAAGTTCCATCCCCGCTATCCCCACTGTTACAGTATATTAAAGCCCTACGTGCTTTCTTCTCTTACCGAGGAGAAACCCAGCTACTGAAACCCAACTCTGTACCATGTCCAGTGTTTTTTTTCAATGTAACAAAAATGTTCTATATTCTCAATGTCGTGGTCAAAGACAAGGTAGAGCTTACTGATAAAACTGGCCCCGGAATGTTTTAAGAACCTGTCATAGTGGTGGAGGAGTCGTAGATCCCTGTCAATTTTCAACTTTTCAACTGATTATTTAAAGGATTAAAATCTGAAACATTTAATTAAGAAGTTTCTTCTACATCTGAAATTAGGACCTAAACGTGTAGTGGAGTGTTAAGTAAATAAAAGATGGTGCCAATACAAATTGCCCAGCTGTTCGATTTATTATCAATTTCATAAATTTTTATCATCAATTTCATTAGTTTAATAGTCACTGTTTGTACAATATGAACTGGTTTTAGTAGCAAGGAATGTTTTATTTGAATAGATTTCAAACATGGAGTAAAATAAATACACCACCATCTGCCTTGGAAGTCTACGTGTACTTCTTGCCAATGCCCATTTCTTATCAGCAAGATGGCCGAACCGTCTTGTGTGACCTCCTCCTCCCCCCCCCCCCCCCCCC